CAACACTTGGGCCTACACAGTCTGGCCCAGCACTCAGAGCTCTCAAAGAGCATCATTCCTCATGTCAGACTGCATATGGGGAAACTGAGGCCCAGGGAGGGGCTGCAGTTGACAGAGTCAGGGAGGATGGAAGTAGGTGCCAGGTCATCCATTTGCTTTTTTTCCAGCCAAACTCTGTGTCTGCCAGAGCAGCCTCCATGTAGTGCCTCAATGGAACCATCAGGGTCTTGGAGTAAGGACCCCAGGTACAACCCCAGGGAACATCCCCCAGGTCCTTTGCTGATGCAGTTCTCCAGCCGTGGAAACAGTCTGATCAAAGAATTCTCTCCCTGTGGGCCTCTGTCAGAAGGCTGTTGAAATCCTAGAGACTGAGCCCTTGGTATAGATGAAATTCTCTTTCCCACCAAACAGGCCTTGTATGTCTTCCTCCCTGCATGTGCTGTTCTCCCTGCCACAGCATTTGTTTGCCCTACATCCTGCCATCAGGCCCCGGATGTCTCTCTGGTCACATCGGTAAGAATAAGGACCTCCCCCAGTACTGTGGGTTCCAGACTGAGCCTCTGGTCTCCGGCAGGTGGAGGCGCTCATCACATCTTTGCAGATGGAAGGAAAGGTGGGAGGCACAGGCCCAGACAGGACAAAGCAGTGGGCAAGGTCACACAGCTGGGGAGGTGTGACATCCAGTGAGTGGATGGTCTGGAACACTCCAGGGCCCACGTGGGAGAGGGTGTTTCTTTAGGGGTATGAGGGTGTGTGTACCAGCTGGAAAAGCACACCAGGCTCTGTGAGGAGGCTGTGTTCTGTCCTCTGCCCCCAAACTGTTGCCATGTTCCACCCTACTCCCACCCTTGAAGGCCCTTGGGGAGCCCAATTGCTGCAGAACACGGGGGGCTGAGGGAGCACAAGAACTGCCAGCATGTGTTGGAGCCAGGCAGGGCCTTTCACACACACATCTCCACTTGGTGGCACTCAAGGAGATCAAAATGCATTTAATGTGGTTTAGTCTCATGGTCTGTCTTCAGATACCGCTATGTATTGAAAGTAACACGAAAATTCTCCACTTAAAATATATTTGACATTCTGTGATCTTACAAAGGGCAGACACTCCTATGCGGGGGACTCCCTCCCACCAGCACCCAACCCCTACCGGGACCCTCTTGCAGGCAGGGACTGGGCGGCACAGCACCAGCGGAGCACAGAGGGCTGCATGCAAGGGCACGCACACGGACACCCCGACATGCACAGCTCCCAGGGCCTGCGCACTCACACACACACTGCCCCGGCGGCAGCAGCAGTGCCGTTCACAGAGAGTGGCTCAGCTGCCACACAAATGTACCGCACACATGTTCAGACAAATATACACGTGGCCTCCTACACACAACTGCTCACTGCTGGATGCCAAGGACTCACACATGTGTACATATCACCTCATGCCCAGGCACACAAAAGCCTCACCCTGGCACACACACACTCCACACAGCCCATATGGACACGATCAGGGCAGAATCGGTAGGACTACTGAGTCCAGCTGTGCTGACATCCATGGCCGGTGTGCATCCGGAGTGGTGCGTGCCCAGCCTTACAGCCTGGTGAACATTTACACCAATGCTCACATATAAAACACACACACACCCCCCTACAGGTAAGTATACACATAACTACGCGTGTGTGTATATACCTACACACATACATATCATGTATATTATCATCACAGATTCACAGATTGTCACGTGCACCCATCTGCACAACAGTCCCATGTACGACGAATCCACACGTTCATGCACTTACAGGCAAAGCAATAACTATGTTTCACTTGAACACAGATGAGACAATTCCATATGAATCCACACATTTGGTGCTCACACTCTCAGTCACACACACACTTCTGCAGCATGGCCCTTTCCCACACAAGCAGCTCGGTGTCTCAGGGCAGAGTGCCCACTCTAACCTCTGGACCTCCTGGTTCAGGCTATTGAGAAAACTCTTGGAAATCCCACTGTCCAGGGGGGGTGAGGGTGGGAGCAGTTTGGAATATACCCCTGCTTAGCACAGACCACACGTCACTTACATACACATGCACACACAGACTCACCACATGCCATATGCATGCACATGTGCATGAGCATCTCCCACTCGCCTGTGTGCAGAACATTCAATGGGTTAACATGGTCTCCATATACCATACACACAAGGGCACACACACCCTCACATTCCCCAAGAGCCACAGGATCCTTGCTCTACACACACAACAGCTCCTCCTCCCATCCACCCTCCAGTTTCAAGTGCATTAAAGAGGGAGACTATTTTGGTCTGTAGCACAAGCAATAAATAAATACAAGGGAGAGGGGAAAGGGCAGAAGAGTAAAAACACAGTGTCTGCCTTTGGCAAGAGATGAAAGGCAGCTTGGGACTGCTCTCCTGCAGGATCTGGGGACTGAACAGTCTGCCATGGGCTAGGGAGGGGCCAGACCTGAGAGAAGGTGCACCAGGCCACCCAAAATCACCAGGGCCTTGAAGTTCCAGGGTCCCTGGGCTCTGCTCTGGGTGGAGTGAGCGGAAGGCTGGCCCACTCATCCCTGGAAGGATCTCTGGCTGCTGAGCAGACTGGAGCACCAGCCAGTGCTGCCCAGCTACCCAGAGCCACCTCCTCCTACCCCAGCTCAGCCTGACAATCTAGGACAGGGTTGGTAGGCAGGTGCTCCAACATCAACTCCATCCTCGTACCCAGGGCTACGGCTGAGAAAGCCACTCGGGCTCAGAGCAGAAAGGCCAAGGGATGGAAGGAGCTGAGGCCCCTCCAGAAGATCCTGAAAGGAAAAAGCTGCCTCCAGTGTTTCAGGCTGAACTTTCTTGGCCAGAAGTTAGGGTGAGGTCTGAGGGTTAGGACAGGGTGTTGAGAGTCAGGCCTACCTCAGGGTAGGGGATGGTGGGGTGTCTCTGGGTGGGAGCTGACAGCCCATGCCCAGGCCCTCCACAGGTCAGGTCTCCAGCTGTCCTGGCAGTCGGAAGAGGAGGGAAAA